AATCCAATGGGTCTACAAAAATTTTTTGAACCCAGAGTTGTATTGATCCATATATCTTCAAATGAATTTCCGATGCTTGACGATGATGGATTAAGGGAATATGAACGAATTCGTAATGGCACTAATGATGACATAAATACACTTTTGTAGTCTGCTAATATCCGACTTCCACAAGCTTGTTTGTATTCTGGAAGTCACATCCCCACTTACACATTAAGACAACATCATAGTTATGAATTTTCCTTAGTTGGTCTTCTAAAAAGTCTGACACAATTCTTAATGCTGTGTTTTCGAGCAAAGATGATATATCAATACAAGCTTCCACATCATTAACAGCAATAGGTGATGGTAGGATAGTTTGTTTTTTTTCCTGGATCGCCTTGTATGATGGTAATATATTGTGTCCTTTTTCATGCAGAGCTTTCCTTAATATTTGGTACTTATTTCGACTGAGACCCAGTTCCAACATAAGCGCTATTGCTTCCTCTTCAGTAAAATTTGATTGTGATGTTGGAGTTGGTATACTTTCCACAATTCGCTTAAGTCGTTTTGGTGATGCATTAGGAAGAATAGTGGCAATATGTACGGCATCCATAGGTTGGTTTTCCTTTTTCAGCATTTCGTTAAATGTATCAGCAATTTCCTCATTTGAGATTGAAAAAAGTTTTTGTGTGACCCTCTTTTTTTTGACCTTGAACATAAGTCTTCGTATGACTAGCAAGGCGCTCCTGTTGATGTGTTGTAAGTTGAGATTTCCGTAGTAGTTTCCATCCAACTACAAAATTTTAATCGAAATTTCTTTTGATTTCCATCCACAGACTTACTTTTTACATCAAAAAGTTTTAAAAAGTTTTCAATTTTTGATATGCCTGTTTTGTCTACTTTTCTACTATATGTAGTTTTTATATAATTTGAAATGTCTTCAATTCTTTCTGGCCCTTTTGAAGATACACTCCATAAAACGGAACACAACTCTTCGTACTTTAATGTAATCTTCATTGTAGATTTATTAAATATGGTACTTAAAATCTGAGAAGTTTACTTATATACCAATTCTTGTCATTTCCGATACAGGTATTCCAAAGTAAAAAATTACGAACTGTCTACCTATTAACATTTAGGACTATATTACTATAACCTGTAATTCAGTCATTGATATTTCTTATTAGTGAATGAATCGAAATTATCATTACCTGTATATTTTTACCTACATGATCATAAACGAAACAGAACGAAATGATCTGTCGAAAAAAATTTAGGTAAAAAATAGTTATAAATTTCTGAAAATTTAAGCATAATAGGACCTTTCAATTATAAGGATAAGCAAACAAATAGAAAATAGGTAAATATAAGATTTAAACATGTTCTGTCATATTTAATACTAAAATATGAAAAATATGAAATTAAAGGATACAGGTTTAAATGAACATATTTTTGAATGTAATTGAGATATTGGCTTGAAATTTTTTGTAGAGGGTCGAGAATTTCCATATCTAACTAAAAAAAGATATTAAGAGATAAATATGGACTAAATAGTTGTAGCTATCTGCGACCCTATTAAAATTTTGATATAAATCATAGTTTTAGAAATTTAACAAATATGTAATATATGACAAAATCTTTATTTATGAACAAAACTCAATGAAATTTTCAACGCTTGTTAAATTTGTCATTTCAAACAAGAAAATGCAAAAAAAAAATTGAAAAGGTCAAAGGGCATCCCGCAATTCCCAAAAATAGGAATGAAAATCCCAAAAATGGGATTTTTTACATTTTTGCCCATAGGGTCCACATTTCTTTCAGGGCTGGGAAAATACTTTTGGAGTAAATATAAAACATATTGAGGTTTCCAAAACTGCTTTCAGTTTTCTGATCCCAGCTTTGGGATTTTAGAACATGTCGCCCAAAGTTGAAGTTTTGATAAAAAATAGGTCATATTCGGAAGGACGCAGTGGCAACATTTTCAAAAAATAGGACAAGTTTTTTACGCCAAAGCGTTCTGCGTAAAGATACCTTTTAGAAAACTATAAAATTGTTATATATTCTTAAAGAAAATTTTATTTTATTAATAAAAGAGTTAAGACACATTTTGGGCAAAAAAACGGCAAAAATCTAAAATTTTTTGAATTTTTAAATTAAAAAACGTATATTTTTGGATCTGTAAATGATATTGATCTGAAATTTTTTGTACATTATTGGAAATTTTGTTGTCTAACTAACAAGAAAAAATTGAGTCCATTTGGTCCAAAATTACGCCCGGTATTCAAAAAAAGGCGGACCAAGGTATGGTAAATTTTGTATCACTAAATTTTTAAATGCCTATAACTCGGATATTATAAGAGATAAGTAGTATGTCCAAGCATGTTTTTTCAAGATCTCGTCGAGCGCTTTCAGAAAATATAAAAATCTTTGTATTTGGATGAAAAACAAAAAAATGGCACGAGTTTAAAAATTTTACATGTCGTAGGTACCCTACTTTGAGCCGCCACAGCTCCGTCCCTGGGGTATCTGCGGGGTTCATCTTCAAAACTTAAACTCGAATACTCCTTGGCTACGCTCACGCCAAATTTTATCCCGATCGGATCAGCCGTTTAGAAATGCCAGATTTATTTCCAAAAAATTTCCATTCTGCCCCACTGTGCATTCTTATTTGCAAGCGTTTATAGGCGTCTCATTAACTTCGCTTAGAACTCCACACATTATGTAAGTGAAATTTTAATTTGTCTTAATGATATTGTGGCTTACATTCTAAGCGAGAGCACATCGATGAGGCAGCCTAGGACACTTTTATGTTAAATCTAAGTGGAAGAATAAGTGAAAGCATCACCACTGACTGCCACGAAATATCACTTAGATAAGCGAGTACATAATGTGTATTTTTACCGCTGGGTTATTAATATAAAAGAGAGTAAAAGAGATCAATATGATAATAGTTGTATGAAAATTTTAGTTAAATATAATATTTTTTCACTAGTACATAATGCATTTTGGTTGAAAATTTTACTGATTACTGAAAAAAATTTCAGTATTCAGTAAGATTTGCATTACCAGTATTTTTTACTGTTTACTGAAATTTGTTTTTCAGTAGTCAGTAAAATTTTACTGAATACTGCAATTTTTTCAGTAATCAGTAAAAATTTACTGAATACTGAAAATTTTTTCAGTAACCAGTAAAAATTTACTGATTACTGAGATGTGTAATGCAGTAAAATTATACTGCAGTGTTCCCAGGTATGCTGGGCTGAAAAAAATTTCAGTAAACAGTAAAAAATACTGGTTATGCAAATCTTACTGAATACTGAAATTTTTTTCAGTAATCAGTAAAATTTTCAACCAAAATGCATGATTAGTAAAAAAATATTATATTTAACTAAAATTTTCATACAACTATTATCATATTGATCTCTTTTACTCTCTTTTCTACTAATAACCCAGCGGTAAATGAAACAAAGTACTTAGATAATATTCGATGACATCAGTATGACGTTCTAAGCGAGCAATCTAAGTACTTAGAGTGCAATATATGCGTAATCCAACATATCATGCACTTTAATTATAACATAGATTACGATTTAAGCAGAGAGTTAGCTGCCTTTTTCATGTTGTTTTTTGTTTTTATTTCTTAAAAAAAAAAAACTTAACTAAAGTACCGTTTTATTTTTCTTTTGTATACTACATACATGAAAAGAAGAATATTTTTGTTTCAGTTTAAAGTTGATCTTTTGTAAGTGACGTTGTGTTTTGTTAAAAAAGTTATTTTATTGTAAAAATTTAAAATAATTGTGGTGATCTAAATGGCAGAAACGGACTTAAAAATTGGGGTAAATGTACTTCATATATTCTAGTTTTAATACTGACAATTTCCTCTTGATTATTTACAGGATCTCTAAAGGAAGATTAGCGAAAGTTTCAAAAGAAAATTAAGATTCATTTCATTTATCTTATCTTTTATTGTTTAATTATATTTTTATTGAATTAACTATAATACATGTTTATTATTTGATGATCATTTTTAAATAAAATTGCATAATTTTAAAATAAATATAAAAAATATATATTTTTTCTATAACATAATCGGAAGACATGGTACTTTAACTTACAAATGCAAATAGGATTGTAATCTACATACATTACATTCTTATTTGCAAGCGTTTATAGGCGTCTCATTAACTTCGCTTAGAACTCCACACATAATGTAAGTGAAATATTAATTTGTCTTAATGATATTGTGGCTTACATTATAAGCGAGAGCACATCGATGAGGCAGCCTAGGACACTTTTATGTTAAATCTAAGTGGAAGAATAAGTTAAAGCATCACCACTGACTGCCACGAAATATCACTTAGATAAGCGAGTACATAATGTGTATTTTTACCGCTGGGAATCTAATATTATAAAATATAATAAATGCTTCCAACAACTTTTTATTGGCCGAGAAAATTATATACGATTTAGCCTCTTGTATAAATTTGTACATAGCTAAGTTATTGTCTTCTGAAAAGATTTGCAATCCCAAAAAGTAAAATTTATCGCACTATAGCTACTTGTGATGATAAATATGTATTATATTCAAAAATATGTTGAAAATAGAATTTTCAGTAAATTATTAGATTGTACGGAATAGTGTAAGCACACTTACACTCAGTAAAACTTTACTGAATACTGAAAATTTTTTCAGTAAACAGTAAAAACTTATTTTTACTGCAATTTTACTGGTACTGCAAAGTGCCCATCTATGATATTGACACAAATATAAACATGCCTAAAATTTCGAAATTACCCATCTCTAAAAAATGTGCAAAACTTTTTTTGGAAGACAACAATTATAATTATTTTTCTTATTTTTTCCCAATATAAATATACAAAATTTGTTTTGTTCACATCTCTGAAACTTGTAGGAATTTAATTAAAAAAAAGGAATTTAATTTAAAATTCTCAAAAACAATCTAATTATTTTAAAATAAAAAATAAATAAAGACAAATATGCTAAATTTACAAACCTTGATTCTGCCATATCCAATTTGGACCACGTACGACCCTAATTCCTGGTGGAATTGATGGACGCATTTCTAGAAATATAAATAAAAAGTGGGAAAATATTTATTTTTATTTACATATGAATTCACTTTTTTACTCGAATACGAGTTGTTGTCCTTATAAGATAATGTGATCCTGTTCTAACCTATGGTCAAAAAATTTTAGTTTTTTTAACTTTCAAAAGTAAAGCATTAGGCCAATTACTCTAATAGTTTAGCGAATATTTTGGAGAATACACCTTAATTCTTTACTGCTGTAATTTTAAACATATTTTCAGAGTATTATAATCCAGATAACATAAAATATGTATGTCCCAAAGATTTATTCAAATCAGGCAACCTTAAACCAAAGACTTTGGAGGTCAAAAGTAAAATTGAATATGTACATTAAGATGTCCCGTGGACCACTTTTTTGAAGTAATACATCTCAAACGATGCGTTCAAATGTACTAAATATGAGAAAAAAAAGCAATTATTTTGAGAAGGTCATCAGTTCCCTACCTGCGATTGAAAAACTTGATCTCAGTACAAAGAAAATGTTCTGCAATATTTTCGAAATGGGTCTCAAAAATTCCGTAATTTTGAGCTTATCGCGAGAAAAATAATTAAAAATTTTGTTAGTGTATTTTTGGTTCGCAAAACGACTTTTGGTGTAAAAAATTCTGAAATGGACCAAACCAAATGCCAAACAATTTTATAATATTTTTCTGTATAAGCTAAAAATTACTACAATTTTGGCAGTTCAAAATCGAATATATTTTATTTTTTTTATTATACTGAGGTCGGGATTTTCAATCGCTGGTAGGGAACTGAGGACCATTCGAAAAAAAAATATTTTTTATTTTTCTCGTGTTCAGTACACGAGAATGCTGCACCTTGGGACACTCTAATTTACATATACCAAAATTTATTTAACTAGCCGAAAACATCTGTTGTTAGTATCTTCTTTGTTTTGCATACATAATTAATTATGTTTATAAACTTTGTAAATAAATAAATAAATTACACAGTGAGACGAAATAAACGAAAGTGACAATATTTTTCTGAAAGGTGGATCCGAGTAGAACAGAATATGTTTTTTTTTTAATTTGCCAAACACCTCCAAAATCTTTAAGGTTGATGTCGCTTTGTTACAGAAATTGCAAACTCAATTTGAAAAAACAAAAACACAACTTTAAAAACAAGAGCATAATTTACAAAAACAACCTACACCCTAAATAATTTTCTAGAATGCATAACAATGAAAGTAAAGAAGATCATTCTTATTTAATACTTTTTTTGTACATTTTAATTTGAAATGTTGTTTCTATGTGAAGAAATTATCATTCTTATGTCCATTGAATCTATTTTGTTTATAAATATTCCCATTTTATAATAGTGCAATTTAATCTTCAAAAATGAAAATAGCCAAATATTTCTTTCAGCGCAATTTCATTGAAAATATATCAATAGTGTGTGTGTAGTGGTGATTTTTTTTCATCTGCATCTATATACGCCGGTATATGATTTATAATGACATATATGTAGATATGATGTTTAAGTAACCTGTGCCTCGTTTCTGTAACTCTCGTATCGAGAAGTTTCTCGCATGAAACAGTGAAATTGAAGAAAAAACAATGTGAATTGAAAAAAATATCATTTCTCACATGCAAGTGTTTCTGTAAGAAAATTTTGTGAGAAGTTTCTCACATGAACTGTCAAAAAAACTCACATTTTAAAACGGTGCGGAAAGGAACATTTTAAGTTAAAAAAATTTAATTTAAACATGAATTCTATGACATAATGAAAAAGTAATGTTATATTTATAATTAATTAAGATTAAAATAAATATTGTTCACTAATTTTTAGAAAATAGGAGGAATTTCGGATATACAGAAGCAAATGCTAAAAAAGTACGTGGGCGTAAACTTAGAATTTGCCAAGGGCGAATTTAGTGGGATAATTTTTCGGACAATTTTCATTTAATTTCTACATTTTTTGTTTATTTATTCTTCGTTTATAAATTTGTTCGGCAATTTTTGTTTTCTTCTTTTAATTTTTATGTTTTTGACAGCTGTTTTATTGAAAATTTCCAATTAAAATGTAATTCTCACTTTAAGTTACAGAAACACTTTTTACTCACAAATCGAGAAACGATGGAATTTTTTGTTTCACACTTCTCGATGTGAGAACTTCTCACTAAAAGTTACAGAAACGGGGTACTGGAGAAATATGTGTGCACTTCATCGGCAAAGATATTTTTGATTTCAGTTTTGCATCGTTTTTCATGTTTGGAGATGTTTTTTTAAAGTATTTTGTATAGGAACCGTACTATTTATAAATGTAATAAAAAACTATGTCACTTCATGAGTAAAACAACTTTGTTTTTAAAAAACCGTTAGCTATTGTCGACGTTATTGATTTTTTTTTTTTAATACAAAATTGTTCAAAAACTTATTTTCCTAAAGATGCTTTATATGGCAGATAGGGTTAAATATGGGCCGATCCTCATAAACGTTATTTATGCTGAATTTCATAATTATATTAATGTAATTAAGAGAAATATGGAATTAAAGTCATTTTCTAAAGGAGGATTTGCATGGGGAGTAGTGTCAATAAGGTCCGATAAATACAAAAATCGGTATAAATGAGTTTGCCGTAATCCTTAGTGATATTGCTGAATCTTTAAACAATACGGACTTAGTTGACCCTAGTCCCCATACAAACCCTCCTTCAGAAAATGACTTGAATCCCATAATTCTCTTTTTATATTAATATGACGATGCACAGTGGTATAGGAAAAAAAAAAGAGGGAAATAATTCGGTAACTTCTAAACGGTTAATCCGATTTTAATGAAATTTGGTGTGCACAAAGAGGAGGTGTTGTCGAGTTTAGGTTTTGAATTTGGACCTTATAGGCCAACCTGGGGCCCGGCGGGGGGTCCTCAATTTAGGACACCTCGGCTATGTTAAATTTTTAAAACGATCCTATTTCTTCATTTGAGTTCCGATTTAAAAAAAATTTCGTATATAGAATCTCCTCATCGAGCACTATCGCAAAAACTGAATAAAAAACATTTTTTAATTTTTTTTAAAAAAAGTATTCCGCGAATTTTTTAATTTTCAAAAATTATATACAGTTTTGAAAAATAGACAAAATTACCTTTCCATTGATATATAACATGCCTACCTAATGTTTTTTAAGTGACAAATTAATTAGGGAAAACTCAACATCTTTTAGAAAATTTACCTAGCACTATTATTTTCATCCATATATGTAACAAATTTAAGAGTTAACCTTATGGATGAAAATAATAGTGCTAGGCAAATTTTCTAAAAGATGTTGAGTTTTCCCTAATTAATTTGTCACTTAAAAAACATTAGGTAGGCATGTTATATATCAATGGAAAGGTAATTTTGTCTATTTTTCAAAACTGTATATAATTTTTGAAAATTAAAAAATTCGCGGAATACTTTTTTTAAAAAAAATTAAAAAATGTTTTTTATTCAGTTTTTGCGAAGATACAAATTTTTCAAATTGCAATAAAAATTTTATTTATGAATATTTTTTGATGAAATTTTACAGTTAGGTAGATTTTTTTACTCAAAATCCAAAATTAAATAAAAATTTCGAATTTTCTTATTAGGAATCCCGGAATTCCCAAAAAAGTTTTAAAAAATCCCAAAAATGGGATTTTTTGGTTTTTTGCCTATTATATCCATACCAGGGGCGGGGTTATCGAAACCCGTTACAAAATGATTAAGAACTTATTGGGTCATATAAAACAGGTCACTATAATTTGATATCGACTATGCGATTTGAGAATTTTTGCTCAAAATTTAATTTTCCATAAAAAATAGGGTTTTTTTGGATGGACCTGGTCCCCTCGGTATCAAAAATTTTTAGGTTTTGTTTCATTTATCGTATTTTATGTAAAGTCAGCTTTCCAAAAAGTATAAATTCTATATACATCTTCTTAGAAACTTTTTAGATAACTTAAAAAGAAAAAGATACTTTTTTCCCAAAAAAATGACAAAAAATCGCCTTTTTTTAATTTTTTAAATTTAAATGCCTATAACTTTGGACTCAGTCATGATTTTTACATAATTCTTTCACTGCTTGGTATATAAACTTGTTGTTAAGCAAATAAAAAAAAATGGCGAAAATCGGAAATATTTGGACCTGCTATTATCAAAAAAACTAAAGTAAGGACGGTAAAAATTTTAAAATTTTAATATTCAAATGCGAATATCTCCTAAACTATAAGAGATAATTTACTGCTACGACGACATTTTTTATAGTGCTCGATGAGGAGATTCTATATACGAAATTTTTTTTAAATCGGAACTCAAATGAAGAAATAGGATCGTTTTAAAAATTTAACATAGCCGAGGTGTCCTAATTTGAGGACCCCCCGCCGGGCCCCTGGTTGGCCTATAAGGTCCAAATTCAAAACCTAAACTCGACAACACCTCCTCTTTGTGCATACCAAATTTCATTAAAATCGGATTAACCGTTTAGAAGTTACCGAATTATTTCCCTCTTTTTTTTTTCCTATACCACTGTGCGATGAAATCTAGCATAATGCCCTAATTCTGTTAGACGATTATGTCGTCTTGTCTGAGGAAGAAAAGTAGTCGAATTTACGTTTCTTCATGTCAATATATTTTTTTCGTCTATGTTACGTGGTTTGTGTCTATGATTTACGTCATTGTCAAACTATTGTTACCAATATATATATATATATATATATAGATTATATATATATATATATATATATATATATATATAGATATATATATATATATATATATATATATATATATATATATATATATATATATATATATATATATATATATATATATATATATCTATATATATATATATATATATATCTATATATATATATATATATATATATATATATATATATATATATATATATTTTAAATATTTATATATTTTGCTTTACATTTATACATTTTAAACATTTGGCAATAATATTTTTTTAATAAAATTGACAAATACAAAATTTTAATTAATAACAATT